ATATAAATATTAAAATAATTACAATTCTTAATTTAAAGTTTTATTAACGTTTAATTACGTAACTCGATTATTTAATTTTATTTTTTATTTCGACACAAATATAGATAATAATTAAATCAACAATTGTATTAATTGTCAAATAACTTAATTTTTAGTTAAAATATTTTCCCATAATATTCAGAAGGTTAACTGTATTTGCGCTAAATGGATGTTATTTCACGCAAATTTTGTTATAAGCAGTTTTTTTGTTACATATATTTAGATCGGTAAAAACCGAAGTAAACTGAACTTGAGAAACATTTTTAAATTGTACGAGATTTTGTTTACTCACTAACATATTTACATTGAAATAACAAATAAATATGAATAATATTTTTCTGTGTACTAATAATATGAGCTAATAGATACTGGAACATTACACAAATCATGCAAATCATGTGTAAAAGCCTCGACAGTTTTTGTTTTGGATTTCAAATATACATACGCACACAGGTAAAGTGTAATAATAATAATAATAACCCCCCCAAGGGATTGAACCTTGACGTGGTGGGGGGGCTTAAGGGAAGCAGGTACAAGTGCTTGGTCAGGACATCTCGACCACATACCCCAATAGGGAAGTACTTATTGACAGAGTCAATAACAACAGGACTATACCCTTCCTACTAATCATCCCAAACACAAAAACCCTTATGGAGCAAAGTGAAAGAAGATATAATTTACGGTCGCTGCCCGGGGGTCGCCGGGGCGCACCTGGAGCCGGTGCTGGGTGCTCCAGTCTACGAACCACCGGTGATGAGACGCTGAACAGGCGGGCTCTCGTCACACAAGATGCTACAGCCGGTCGTCGGGAGTTGAGCAAGCGGGCTCACGACGTTGAAGCTACAGCTGAATCTATAGGCGATGATACCATCTCACTTTTTTCATCTATCCCTTCAACTCGCCCCTCATACATGACACGGAGAACATCTACTGTTTCTTCTTCTAGTACGCTAGATGGTGTTGTGCGAGATGTCATTACAGACTATGAGCTTGCACCCACCTCTGGTCTTAACCGAACGCGCAGGCGATGGACACCTGAAATGAATATTTTTATACTGCGCACTTATCTACAACTAACAACATTACACACCGACACCAAGAATTATCTTGAACCTTTACACTTAAAATTCATAGAAATGTTTCCAAATATGAATGTCAGCCGTCAAAGAGTAGGAGACCAACGTAGAGCAATAGTACGCAATAAATTGTTACCTCAAGAAACAATAAACCAAATTTATGACGATGTAAGAAAAGAATTATCTCACCCTCATCATATTCATCAAAACCGCGAATCTGTAAGAAATATACAAAAAGATACTTCTGAATCACACAACCCACAAACTCAAATTCGTATGAAATGGACAAATGAACAAAATGAGAGCTTAATACGATCCTATTACAGGATAACACAATTGGAAACAAACAAAACAGCTTACCGGAAATCATTACATGAAGCTTTTATTAGAGATTTTCCCACATGTGCTCAATTAAGTGAACAGAGAGTTGCTGACCAAAAACGAGCAATTATACATAATAAGTATATTTCTGACAATAGATTAAATGAAATAAAACAACAAATAGCACAAGAATTGTCAACTAATCTTAATAATTTAAATAATGGTACAAATAAAGCCAACACCGTAAATGAGCCCAACACTGCTAATACTGACAATGAAAATCTAAATAATATAGAATTCAACCTTCTAGAACAAGATCCACTGGCTTCACAGCAAATAGAAAGAGATCCAATAATAGACGAAACTTTTCGAAAGGCATTTCAATATTTCAAAGATATAGAGCCTACAAGCAGAAATCACATTCCTAAACAAAAACCATCTAAAAAACTGGCTAAAATAGTACATTATCTAAACGAAGTAACACTGTCTGAAAATATTAATGCAGAGACAGATTTCATCACTTTACAAACTACAATATATTGTGCAGCTTGGACAGCAGCTAAAGTAAATAGAACCAAATTAATACTGGAACCAGTGGAAAGATCCCGGCAAATGAAAACTCATAAGCCGAGTTGGCAACGGCGACTAGAAAAACGCTTAGAAGACTTGCGTACTAAAATAGGTAGATTAATCCAATTCATAAATGGTAATACAAATAGAAAACTAGAAAAACAAATAAAAAACATAGTAGAACAATATAAAACACATTCTGCACACGAGGAATCTAACATGCATCTCACACACACACTTGATACGCTTAAACAGAAACTCGCAGTCGTATCAGGTCGCTTACGAAGGTACAAGGCGTGCACATTAAGAAAGACACAAAATAAACAATTTTACAATAATGAAAAGTATTTCTATAGAAATATTATACAAGCAACGACAAATATACAAGAAAACAGAAATAGTGATAATAAAGGCAATCTACCAGATATGAAGAACCTCCGTGACTTTTGGGTAGGAATTTGGGAAAATCCTGTTGAACACAACATGCAAGCTGACTGGATACAGTCTGAAACTGCAAATAACAACTCATCTATACAAGAAATGACATTTGAGTACATTCCAATGACCACATTTAAAAAAGTACTAAGTAACCTACATAACTGGAAATCAGCAGGTTCAGATTGTATCCACAGTTATTGGTATAAAAAATTTACTAAAACCCATGAACATCTGCTTAAACATATTAATCAATTCATTGAAAACCCGAACACAATCCCAGATTACATCACCCGTGGAATATCTTTTATGATTCTTAAAGACTTTAAAGATCCTGCTAATCCCGCAAAATACAGACCAATTACGTGTTTACAAACGTTATATAAAATTATGACATCCTGCATATCTGAACTAATATATGAACACATTGCCGAAAATAAATGTCTAGCCGAACAACAGAAAGGATGTAGAAAATTTAGTCAAGGATGCAAAGAACAATTAATTATAGATTCTGTGGTCTTAAAACAAGCCTTAAAGTCAAAATCTAATTTATTTTCTATGTACATTGACTATAAAAAAGCTTATGATTCTGTCCCTCATTCATGGTTAACAAAAGTACTAGAAATATACAAAATACATCCAAAAATAATTACCCTTTTAAAGACGGCAATGAAAAATTGGACCACTCAATTAAAAATACCCACATCATCTACAACAATAGAGACGCAACCCATTAAAATTCAACGAGGTATCTTTCAAGGTGATGCACTAAGCCCTCTGTGGTTCTGCCTTGCCCTAAATCCCCTTTCAAATATATTAAATTCAACACAATTAGGATTTCATATTCAAGATAAAAGTATTAATGGACATCCAGAACCTAACGAAACCATAAATCATTTACTTTACATGGATGACATAAAGCTTTATGCCAGTAGTGAAAATGATCTCATTCAACTAGCTACCCTCACTAAAAAGTTTACAAAAGATATTAAAATGGAATTCGGTATAGACAAATGTAGAATAAATTCAATTAAATGTGGGCAGTATTTTCAACACCACTATACAATGACTACAGGAGAACAAATCGAACCACTAGAAGAACAGGAAACATACAAATATTTAGGGTACAATCAGGCACGCCAAATTCAATATAAGGAAATTAAGCAACAATTAAAACAACAGTTTCGTCACAGACTCAACACTATTCTTAAAACGCAACTAAACGCCCGAAATATAATAAAAGCTATTAATAGTTTTGCTATCCCTATACTTACATACTCTTTTGGCATTATTACTTGGACAAAATCAGACCTAAAAGCTCTACAACGAATAATACACACCACAATGACTAAGACACTAAACATCACCCCAGATCTTGTCTACAAAGACTGACGCTGCCCAGAAAAGAAGGCGGTAGGGGCCTTATAGACATAGTGAATCTACATAATAAACAAATTACAACTCTAAGGCAATATTTCTTCAATAAAGCCGAATCCTCTCCAATCCATAAAGCAATAATAAATAGTGATCACAAATTAACACCTCTTAACCTGAAAAATAAAACGACACAAAATAACGAAAAAATTACTGAAGAAAAGACCAAAATTGCCGAGTGGACTGGAAAGTCTTTACATGGAAGGCATCGACAAGACTTATGCCAAACTAATGTCGACAAAGAGGCGTCGAACGCATGGCTAAGTCGAGGAGAACTCTTCCCAGAGACTGAAGGTTTCATCATGGCAATTCAAGATCAAGTAATAGAGACTAAAAACTACCAGAAATATATAACAAAAACCCTTACATCTGATATATGTCGTAAATGCAATAGCTGCCCGGAAACGATTCAACACATCACAGGAGCATGTAAAGCAATAGTGCAAACTGATTTTAAACATAGACATGACCAGGTAGCCAATATAATACACCAAAAACTCGCCTACCAAAACAATTTCATTACCTCCATTCAACCATATTATAAATATAAGCCTGAGAGTGTACTAGAAAATTCCACAGCTAAACTTTATTTTGATCGAGCCATCCTCACAGATAGAACAATCCACTACAATAGACCAGATATTACATTAATAAACAAAACAAACAAAACTGCTTATTTGATAGATATAGCTGTACCTAATACACACAACATACAAAATACAACAGCAGAGAAAATATCTAAATACACCGAACTTCAATACGAAATCACCCGACTTTGGAACTTACAAAAAGTGACAATAGTTCCAATAGTACTGTCCACGACAGGTGTAATACCAAAACAACTGCATCACGCGATAAATACTCTAAAGTTACCACCCAATATTTACCATCAATTACAGAAAGCCGTAATCCTAAATACATGCCGAATTGTCAGGAAGTTTCTGCAAATTGGACTAGACGTTCCTGGTACATCTACAGGTTAACATAATATTACAAACAGATTACCAGACAAATTACATTTATACAAAAAACATAGCACACAGTTATGCACTTGGCTTAGGCCCGTGTACACCTGTAAAACCGGTTTTAAGCCGAGATATCGTAAATTTAAATTAAAAAAAATAATAATAATAATATAATTTATTTGCTCAAATATGGGTATGACAGATGTTACATTAATAGGTTATTACGCCTCCATATTTTACCATAAATGGCGTGCAAATCTTCTCTTAATATAAATATTACTCAATTTCATATGTCACAATGTCTTCATTATAATAGATTACAGAAAAAAAAGAAAACCACTACATCAAAATTTGTCTTGTCTCTTGTCTCATGGCAATACAACGCAGTCATTTATCGTTTGTTTAATTTTTAAAACTATCTGTCATATATTCATTTAGAGTGTAGTATGCTTTGTCAATTAGTATCTTCTTTAGTTCCTTCTTAAATAGATGCAAATGATTAATGTCTTTTATATATTGGGGCAATTTATTGTATACTTTCAGACCCATGCAGAATATACTGTTATTGTATACTGTTGTGTTACACTTTGTGACTCGAATAATATGACAATGTCTTTTGCTTTTTAGAGTTTCATAATCAGTAATATTAGATTTTATTAAAACTGCAGCTTCATAGAGATAAAGTGAGGGAAATGTCAAAATTTTCAATTTCTTAAAACATGGCTTGCACGACTCTGTTTCCTGTATTCCACATATGGAACGAACACATTTTTTTGGCTTTTAAAAGCTTTTTCTCTTCCTGAGGAATTTCCCCAATAGAGAATTCCATACTTGAGCGTTGAGCCTGCAAACGCATGATAAGCGCTCAGAAGTGCAAATTGATTAGCTACTTTTCGTAACAAGTAAAGTGCATAGGAGTACTGATTTACTTTTGTACAAACGTGATCAATCTGTGTTTTCCAAGTCATATCAGAGTCAATATGAATACCTAAAAAGTTAATACAATTAGCTTCCTTAATTTTATTCCCCATATAATTAATATTTATATTATTCAAAATTTTATTTTTGTTTTTAAATGTCATAAAGTTAGTTTTGTCTATGTTCATCTTTAGGTTATTAGCTTCTAGCCAGGAGACCATGTCTTTTAATGAGTTATTTATATCCTCTTCGTAAAGTTTGGGATCGTCATTAGTAAAAATTGCTGAGCTGTCGTCAGCATATAGGATCATTGGATGAGTAATAGCTTTAGGCAGATCGTTAATATAAATTAGAAACAATAATGGCCCTAATATGCTTCCTTGAGGTACCCCGTATTTTACAGCTCTTTGTTCAGATTGATATTTCGTTTCAGTGTTATTATTTGTTTTTATTCTGGTTATTTCTGTAATTTGTTTTCTGCCTTGTAAATATGATTTTACAAGGTTAAGTACATTTCCTCTGATCCCATATATCTAACTAATGTGAGTACGTATTATCAGTAATTTTGCACTGCTTTAAAAGAATATGATAATTAGAAAATAAACATAATGTTATGGTTGCTTAAATTTTATTTTTAATATTTACAAAAACAACTATATCTATTTTAATTAAATCCATTTAAGATTTATGTGATAAGGAACTCTTTTCGAATTGGCAAAGAAATTGAGCAATGTAATATAACTAACATATACAAAAGTATATATATATATATATATATATAAAATAATTGGATTGAAGTGCACCTTATTCGAAATCGGTTAAAAAGTAACATATTCCAGAATAAAAATAAACATTCACTCTACAGTGGAAGTGATTAAAAAAATAATAAAAAGTTGAGTTCTTCGTTAAGCCTTATGGTAGCTAATTTTCAATTAATTACAGTAGCAATTTCTCTAAAAACTATGTGAACCAATCACAGATGCTGCTGAAAGGAACGTTGGTCAGGCGGCACAGTACATGGTTTTACTTCGAATTTTTTTGCTCTTTCAGTACTGCATTATGCTTTCTCTTGGCATTTATTGCACCTTTATCAGATCAGATCAGAAGGTCTTACTTCGCTGTGCTCTAGGTAAATGAGGTCCCAAGTTCGATTCTTATCTGGGTCTTCTGGGTTGTTCCCCCAGATGTCCATTGCTTGGTTCATCATAACACAAGCTATTCTAGCTTGAGGACCAGGAAATTGGTGTCATTTGTGTATCACTTATTACAAATAGACGTAATATTTCAATGTGGGCAAAAATAGCGACAGTGACTGACAAATTGGTCGTTTTTAGGCCAATTTTCATTTCCTAGACAATTACTGACCACTATGAACTATGAGTTTCCACTCACATCACTACCGTTACCTGCCATCGAGCGCGGTGGGAAGAAGTTCATTACACTCAATTTATTTTATAGCATTTGAAACTCCACGTGTGAGAGTTTAGTATCAACTGCGTATACGTATAGTTACAGTGCGTGTACGCTTATAACATTGTACCTATTATGGCAACAGATTATATGATTATCGTTATAATTTTACACACTTTACTTTTCTGTTTTATATTTAAATTTGGAATTTGTTTTTTTTTTAACAAATATACCAAGTTTTGTCGTGCCTATCCAGTTATTTTTCTATTAATACTAATATAATAATAAAACAACATAACTTTATAGAATTATTAATTATTAATTTTACAAAATTTATTTTAATAAATTATATTATACACATTATTTATTGTCAATGCTCCTTGAACTTTCACGTAAATATATGTATATAAACATCAATTGCTGTTCGCTGTCTTGCTAAAATGAAAAACGCTTTATTGATTTGAATATTTTTTCGTTACGTTCGTATATTATATTGGTTATAAAGGTTGGGTCTAAAAGAAAAAAAATAAGAAAATCCCAACTTTTAACTCAAAAATCGAAGCTTGAAAATATGTAGGTAATTTTACACGGAAATCGCTACTTCCGATATACTTATAAACACTGTACTTTTAATACATTATACTTTTAATAGATGGCGTTATAAGTGATACGAAGTTCATCGTAGCATCTACATAGTTGTAGAATAAATTTTCATTAAATATAAAAGCTAGTAAACATATTAGACACTACAAATATTATTAGATATTGTATACAGTTCAGAACTATATACATAGAAACGATTACTAGGCTTCGAGCAAGATCTAATAATTTCCCTGAAGATACCTTGTTTAGAAGTGAAACACGTGTCGCAAAACGTGCGTGAAAAATATGGCAGTCGAAGATCGATGGCTAATATGGAAGGTTGTGGAACTTCTGGTAGTAATAGTGGTAGTTAATCTTCGGGTAATCGCACTCACGTACATAGTAATGGTAGCGGAATTAAACAAAATAATTCTAATCAAACTAACAATGAGAACTATGCTACTAATTACTACAAAATTATATGTTAACATATAATCAGCCAGACTTTAATTTTTATAGTAATAAACTATACCATAATGCTGGACCAATATGGATGATAATTGGCACTTTTTTAATGGATATACGCTGGCGGAGCACAAGTGAAGAATAATTGGTGAGATGAAATGGCTGGTCAGTTAGTGCAGGAATTCAGCACGATGGTTTCCAGGAGGGACCACGTGGAGGTCGACCAGACAGGGTAATTTGCTAGTAATAGGACTGGTGGACTACCAGCATTACTAATAATCCCTTCCCCCTGATAATTGGTACTAGGGCAATCAGCAGTGACTGGCACAATCTCTGTTATATCATAATTCAGTATGACAAAAAATGAAAGCTGTTATGGCCTATTTTGCAAAATTCAAGATATTAGTTTAAAAACGATAGTTACCACTCAATTTCAAGTTAAACAACGGTTAAAAGTTAAGTATAATGACCACGAAAGCAAAAAATAACGATAAAGATCTGTCGTTAATTAAGCACATAGTTAATATACTGCGTAAAGGTCAATGTTAACTGCTTTGTTAAGGTACAAATATTTGCTCTAGTGTTTAGCAATTTGAATATTAAACTACGAATAGTAGACAAACTACATAGACTCTTTATAACCAGACTTATTTTTATGTGACTTAGAATAACAAACACACTAACGGCCTACTTGATGGTAAACAGTAACTATGGATATTATAAAATACATTATGGCGTCCTTCACACAATACCGCTTCTAAAGATTCATCCCTTATATATATATATTTTTTTTCATTCTAATTTTTGTTGAGGCTTCAGTACACCTGGGTAAGTATATCAGCCTTATAAGGAATATTTGAATGTTATTTGATGGATTAACTGACAAGTTATTTGATAAAAAGTGGGTACAATCTACGACAGACGTGATTAACACCATGGATATCCCAGGAAACATGATGCCCGTGGTAAATGCATTGCCATTCCAGAAGGTTAAGTTTTCATGTCTTTTCTTTCCGTAATTTCACTATCGTATACCACTTTGCAAACTGAATCACAGCTCTGCAAGCACGACTGCTTGATAACAGAAACACGGGCGAGACTGATGTACCTATTCAGAGGTAATATCACAACTGCACGTACTTTGCATGTCAATAAATAGACTTAAATATATTTGACTGTTTTTCAAAATTTATATTGAAAAACTTATGCCTAGAATCTGTAGAAAATTATTAATACTTACTAACTTTTTGCTCACTACTTAGCACACGTGGGTTTCTAAAATAGAAAAACTAATAAATTATCATAAAATATATACAAAATTTTAAATTAGATCTTCAGAAACATAACTGTGAAAGCTGCATCCAGTTTGGTGTAGTAGTTTTTGCGCAAGATTGGAACAAACACTCAGATAGAGAGACAAACAAAACTTCTAATAATTATTATCCTGGCTTTTATTGCTTTAATTACTATTAAGATCCCTAATATATTTTTTTAATACTACCTATGTACGAGTACAAACATAATATTCAATTGATTTCAAACAGAAGGAGTTTTTCAATTCGGTTGTGTTTTTTTTTATGTTTGTTACCTCGTAACTATGTCAGATGTAAACCGATTTGGAATTTATTTTTTTAACTAAATGTATATGCTTACAAAATAGGCCCACCATAGATATTTTTATAATATTAATTAATTATTAAAGTCTTTTTTTTTGTGGAACACGATCTTAGTTATACAATATTGTAAGATATCGGCTCTATTTACTTATTAACTTCAAAGTTATCAGACTAGTTTAAATTAACAAATTATTATGACATAATATGGTTAATGGAAAATTGATTTAAGATAGGATAATACAATATGGTGTACCTTGGAGGTCTCTATCTAGGAATGGACTCCTATGGACTTATTACTATGATGACGGCTGCGATCCGAACTTAATAAAATAATAACTTAAACCTTAAGTCAGTGCATTAAGGTATAGTTTGATTGGCCGTCTAGTGTATCGGAATTGCTCTACGCATAAAACTAGGGCCTAGATTATAGTAACGGAATGTGTGGCTCTAACAGTTCTGTTGGCTGTAAAATTGGTATACCAATACTGATTTAGCATGATTTATGTAAGTAGAGACAGTTTAGGTTTTTATTTATTATATTAATTTTTTCAAAGCACTTTGTTCTAAGTAAAATTTGTGGTCTTGGATTCGATTGTATGAATGTCGAAAAATATCTTTGTTAAATTAACTCAAAATTTCGTACTCTGGGCTGAACTAAAGTGAATTAGGACATTCTACATGTTAATCTATGTTTTCATCCCAACCATCTGGACGAGTGGCAGTCCTCCATCGTGCGTTTTTCAAGGCACTTTCTTCCACGCACAACCACTCTTTGGCATCAACTTCCAGTAACAGTATTTCTGAACCCATACGACAACATAACCTTCAAGAAAACAGCATACTCCTTTTTAAAAGGCCGGCAGGACACCTGCAATGCCGTTAGTGTTGTGGGTGATCATGGGCGGCGGTACTCACTTACCACCAGGTGAGCCGCAAGCCCGATTGCCCCCTGTGTTGTAAAGAAATCTAAGACATTTTTTATTCATATTTAGGGTAT